CTTTCTATGATTGCACAGGTAAATTCTTAATTTTTTTCTGGTATTACATATGCGTATAAATTCCTCGATTAGTGTGCTTGTATAAGATGTGATACTTATGAAATGTTATTCCTTACAGATAAATGGTACAATAGGAAACTGTTTTTTACCCCATGCCTTCTTAGTAGTGATGACTAAATTTAGCCTATAACAGTAAGATATTGCTTGGTTACCATTATATCTGACGCCACTCTTTTCCAAGCCAAATCCTTTGGAATAAAAACTTTGGGATATACTGTACCTGACGATCTCCATAGAGTTTTAGTTAAAAAATGTGTATCAGTGTCTGTTGTTTGTTTTCTCTAAAAATGCAAGGATTTGACAATCTGAACCACACAAACTTCTAAAAGACCAAAATTAATTGATGCGAACTTGTGGAGGCAAATTTATGACCACAGACTAATTGTTCTAGTATATAATTTGGCTTTTAAGGTACATTGAAACGTCATTTCAGGAATTAATAACCCGAGACCAAAATTGCTAGCATAAACTTTGTCTTTCAAAGTACCATCATTTCAGGAATTTATGACTGGAGACTGAAATCGCTAGTACATACTCTCTCTTTCAAGGTACAATTCTTATCATTTCCGGAAGGCTTTTGTGGTCCAAACTTGCCTCACGGGTAAACCCATGTGGCTGGATTTTACTTTGTCCAGAAGCCCGATTTTGTATACATTTAAGAGAAACCCGAAAAAATGCCATTTCCCCAAATGTAGGCCAGTATACCTTATCGAACCCCCTAGATGCATTTTTGACTCAAAATCTTTTGCTTTGCATTGGTGATTAACATTACTGATTATTTCTATCCCCTGTGATGAGGACTGTTGACATTAAAAAAAGGTGCCACCTCCAGTCAAGTTGATGCAGTGCTTTGCTTTTATGTATGCTCGAGCCACAACCTCTGAATAAAAAAATTGAGATAAAGATATGCGTTGTGTGAGTATCCTTCAAAGCCACACTTTTTTTGTGATTAACACAATTTTTAGCATACGATATTAGTTCTTGTGCTTTACATGTCGTAGGTTTCGACTTATGAATGTGAATTGTAAATAACTCGTGCATGTGCAGTGTGTAGCCCTTGTATAACGTTGCCTGCTGTATCATGAAAGGATGAACTCATGGAACTGTATGCGGGAATCCTAAGCCATAGTGTATGCCGTAGAGCGGCTCGTGAACTTGCTGAACATGACTGTAAAAAAATAATCTCAATCGTCAGTGCTCTTCTAGCAGAGACTCCGATAGTGTCTAAATCATGATACCTTTTAAGTTCGAGACAGCACAATCATATATTTTACCCCATGAATCTAGGCTTTCACCGTAGTAAAATGTTATACCAGCATGCATATATATATATATATATATATATATATATATATGGTCTCTTAGACTGCATTCCCACAGATTTTAGATCAATCTATCCCCATGGCGAGTCTCACTAGATTACTGTCAGCTTAGCCGGCTTAAATGTCTGTCCCGCCTACTAATAGCTGTAAGGGGGTAATTAACTTCGTGCGCGCTCGGCTGACAGCAACATAGCGTGAACCCCCAGGGAGTTAGGTCGATCCAGATGGATCGATCTAAATCTGTGGGAATGCAGCCTTATTCGTCAATGATGCCCAATGAAATCTGTCTGGGAGAATTATGAATTTATGGTTCATATGATTATCATACCGGTACCAACATAAATAATGTATACANGTGAATCTTGTGGAAAACATAACGATTTAGGTTAACCTAAAATTTTGTTTTCTGTGTAGATTTTGACATAGATATACTCTTTATGTCCATAAATTATTCAGTTGCCCGACCGGACAACAACTTCGTAATTTTAAGTTGCCCGATGTGCTTTTTAGTTGTCCCGGGCAATCGGACAACCGCTTATTTCGCAGACTGTATTCACATCTCCAAAAAGGAGGAAAATCTTCCAGAAGAAAAACATCAACTACTTTTTACAAATTTAAATGAAATACAAGCCCAAATACAAACAACTGAAATCAAATCTATTTAAGCAATCCCAAAAAAAAGGAGGAGGGGGGAATTCTTCCAAAAGATGGGGAAAGTTCCACCTCTAATATTTCCACTGCTCACCTTATTATCTGTGAGTGTCTTGACAGCTGAGAGCAGGTGTGCCGCCGTCTTCAGCTGCTGTACCGACTTCCGGCTCAGGAAATAGTTGGTAAATTTTATAATCTTCTCCTGAAAATATTAACAGGAAAGCTTCATTACAACGTTTTCAAAATAAGACATTTCATTGCAGAATCAAACCAAGAAAACATTGAATTCATAACAAATTTCCTTTTACAACAAAGCGAATCAAGTGTACAGCCTTTGCAGAATTTCTTTCTACAAAACTGTTTAATTACATTGATGAGTAAAGAACAGTTCCATAGCCCAAGGTTAAAAATGCAATAAGTGAAAATTGTACCATTGGATTAACACATGTGAAAAATAAATAAAAAATAAAACCATAAAAAAAGGGAAAATTTTCTCCTTACCTCATCTATAGTTGGGGCCTTGTTCACCTTTGTGGCCAGTTTATATGCTGAGTCAATTACAACTGATGTTGTAAACAGTCCTCCTTCGAACTGTAAATATTTATCATCGACCTCGTCGGCTTGTGCGACCACATCCTCTATTCTATCAAAGAATTTGCTGACATCTCCACTGAGTTGAGTAGCTGCTAAGAAGGCATACCCCAGACTGGAGCAAAAAAGGATTGTTTTAAAATTTTTAACATTTTCACATTTTCAGGATTCCATTTTTCATACAGAGAGAAAAGTTCTTACACTCACACTGTTTCGGGTTTAAATTTTAAATATATAAAATTTTCTTTAACACTTTCACATTTTAACGGTTTATTTTATCATAAAGAGAAATAAGTTCATACTTTTAAACTGGTTTAATAATGCTAATTCAGTTAATGTTAGTAGGGACTAAATTATGAAACCTGCACAATGTACTAACTGCACAATGTACTAACTGCACATATGGCACAATGGACAGATAAGAGTTTTTTTTTTGTGTGTGTGTGTGTGTGTGTGTGTGTGTGTGTGTGTGGAGGAGGAGGGGGGGGGGTACATCATATATGCCGGTCTCACCTGAGAGGGCTGTCATCTTTTTTCAGTACCTCCAGCAGGGTCTGGCTGGCTTTGGCAGAGTCCACTGAAAACAACAGAGAAATTAATTAAATAAAAATCTTCAATAAATAATATTTTAATATAAAATTGCATCTTATATCATGATGGTAAAAATATGGGATCGTGAGCTCGAAAACAGTTTGTAAAATTCTGAACATATTTACATGTGGCATATCGAGGAAAATCGTTCATATTTCCAAGAAAATCCATGTTTGCCTGTGTACCAACAAACTGAAGTTTTTTTTCTTCTTTTTTTAACAAACTTTGGCGTAATAGGTTTCAAAAAAAAAAAAAAAAAGACTAAAAAAAATATTCAAACCTAACTTACCTGTCACACCCAGATTTTTTGCTGCTAAAATAGCATAGTAAATATTCACCACTGGCTGGTCTGTCTTCAGACTCTCCGCAATTGTCTCCTTGGCAGTGTTAGCTGTCAGCTGAAGTATAAATATAATTAAATTTTAGTATCCAAATATCAACTATGAAAAAGGTATTATTTATAGCAAGACCTTAAATAAATAAATAAATAAATAAATAAATAAATAAATAAATAAATAAATAAAAGAAGAATTTTATTTATTTAAACAGAGTGAACATCAAAATCTATCAGTTGATGTTTGTGCAATGATTTAACAAAGTATTTGTCTCACAACAAAATATCACAAAGTTTTGACAGAAGGTATATAATGCAGAAAACTATTACAACAAAACAAAATAAAAGATATTCCTAAAGAAGGATAATCCCTGTCCATTACCCAGCCATTACAAACCTGGCATCCTCCTAAATTTTTGGCAGCTGAAGAGGCGAAGAACAAACTTTCTACGCTACTCTGGTCCAAGTTGACTTGAAGATAGTTGCATACATCCTGGAAAAGATTAACTAAATTGGTAAAAATAATAATAATAATCTAATGCAAAAAATTGTGAAACATAATGCAGAGCTAACAATATTTCATTTGTACGAATAAATTAGTACATATATAAAAGTTTTAATAACTTAACTTATACATTAAGATAAATAAACATGTTCTTAAATCTTAATATCAATATTTATATATTCATTCAAAAAAGTCCTTTATTTATTGCAAAGAGCAAACATTATTATTATTATTGTTATTATCAAATATTTGAAAAGTCAACTGTATTTACTAACCTTAGAGTTAGGGATGACTACACCTAGCAACTTGAGCCCCATAATAGAGTAGTGGGCAGCTTCCACGTCTGAGTATGGTGCTGCTGCTTCAAACACTGACCTCAGTCGTGCCTGATCCGCAGCAGAGAAATAGGATGATGGCGTCAAAGCCTGTCCCATTACGGACAACAAGGCAAATGCAACTAATAGAACGGTACCTGAAATGAAATATGAGAAATTATTTATGGTGACTCTCATATGTGATGCCTATGATCTTCATGCATTTATTTATTTAATTTCTAAACTTGTTTTCATCATTGTCTACTAAGCTTGTTTCTAGTTTCTGTTAATCATTTTGATTTTATTACAATTATAATAATAATAACTGTTGTCAATTCTTTTCATATGAATTTAATTTTTTCTTCCCCCTCCCCCTGGCAATGGACTCAACATAAGACTTCAATCTCCTACAGTCGAGTACTTATGACATAGACATCGTTTCTACCAGTTCCAACAGCGTTAAAATCACTTGAGCTTATATTTATGGAAGTGAAAAACACCCACGTACAAAGAGACAAGTCTAATTTACAATGTCAACCAGGAAACCCTAAACTTTAAAAGAGTCAAACTTCAAAGTGCGTCATTTTATAGACTGCATGAAAGGTATATATGGATCATTAACTGCATATGATAAACAGAACTGTATCAGAAATATTGGTTATTTTTATCTATTTTTGCTGACACAAACTTAGAGACAAAATGAAAGTTAAAAGTTAGAGATATATTGATGTGGCACTGTTAGCACCCACGTGTCAACATGGCGGCTACCGGCTAGCATCCCCACCAGAAAACTTTACCATTTTCTTTCAAAGTACTCAGCTTAGCATAGTGACCCCAAGTAGACAGTAACTATAGATGTTTCCTCTGTCTTTTCTCGCTGTTACACGAAACGAGCATACAGAATGACAAAGATATGGTCAATTGTTTGGAAGCTCTACCCACCTCTCGCCATTTTGGTTACCGGATACACATCAGAGGACAGACATCGGGCATGCGCAAATTCGATTGCATCAGATGTGATTTCTTCTTTGTTGGTTTCGAACAACTACCACAATTACGTCAAGAACTACGTTTTAAATGAAAAATAAAATTACCAAGACCCATAGGAGCCTACGCGTGCGTCTTTTAGATGCCTCTTTACATGCAAAAACGACATGCACCGTGTCTATTTCGTATGTTATTAATCCCTATAGCAGCTGAATTGACAAAGCCCATGTCGCATTAGTCTTTTACTACAGAGCTTTGAGCCCCAAAAATGACATGGCTGAGTCTGTTTCGCCACTTACTGAACGCCATAGATGCGAGATTGACACGACCCATGTCGCATTCGTCTCTTACTGTGGATCTTTGAGCTTCAAATGGATATGTTATAAAATGCAATCTTGCATTTAAGGGAGCCAGCAAGTTACGAAATAAGCAGGACTATTTGTCAGTTTCGTGTTTTACAAGATGCACAATATACAGGTAACGGATTAAATTCGAAGACTATAATGAATCACCAGAAATATATCGATGTTTTGGAGTCAGACTTGCTACCATCTATTACTAACATGTTTGGTGACAGGAATTATTCATTTGTTCACCAGGATGACAATGCTCCTTGTCACAGAGCCAGAGCAGTTGATGATTGGTTTGACCAACAGGATATTAGCAGGGTGATGTGGTCTACCCAGGGTCCGGATGCAAACATAATAGAAAATGTGTGGAATGATATGTCAGAACTTTTTACAAATGCCCGTCCAACCAGCAGACAAACTCTGTTAGATTCAGTATTTTATGCTTGGGCCAGCATAAGCCCTGAACGCATCAGACAATTATACGAACCCTTGCCTCGCAGACTGGCAGCTATTATTAGGTCACGTGGCTATGGCACTAAGTACTAATTTTGGACTTGAAAGTGCATATCTTGGTAGAATGTATGTTTAATTCTCATTTTTTTTTTTTTTTTTTTTTTTTTTTTTTTTTTTTTTTTTTTTTTTTTTTTTTTTTTTTTTTTTTTTTTTTTTTTTTTTTTTTTTTTTTTTTTTTTTTTTTTTTTTTTTTTTTTTTTTTTTTTTTTTTTTTTTTTTTTTTTTTTTTTTTTTTTTTTTTTTTTTTTTTTTTTTTTTTTTTTTTTTTTTTTTTTTTTTTTTTTTTTTTTTTTTTTTTTTTTTTTTTTTTTTTTTTTTTTTTTTTTTTTTTTTTTTTTTTTTTTTTTTTTTTTTTTTTTTTTTTTTTTTTTTTTTTTTTTTTTTTTTTTTTTTTTTTTTTTTTTTTTTTTTTTTTTTTTTTTTTTTTTTTTTTTTTTTTTTTTTTTTTTTTTTTTTTTTTTTTTTTTTTTTTTTTTTTTTTTTTTTTTTTTTTTTTTTTTTTTTTTTTTTTTTTTTTTTTTTTTTTTTTTTTTTTTTTTTTTTTTTTTTTTTTTTTTTTTTTTTTTTTTTTTTTTTTTTTTTTTTTTTTTTTTTTTTTTTTTTTTTTTTTTTTTTTTTTTTTTTTTTTTTTTTTTTTTTTTTTTTTTTTTTTTTTTTTTTTTTTTTTTTTTTTTTTTTTTTTTTTTTTTTTTTTTTTTTTTTTTTTTTTTTTTTTTTTTTTTTTTTTTTTTTTTTTTTTTTTTTTTTTTTTTTTTTTTTTTTTTTTTTTTTTTTTTTTTTTTTTTTTTTTTTTTTTTTTTTTTTTTTTTTTTTTTTTTTTTTTTTTTTTTTTTTTTTTTTTTTTTTGTGAAATTTTATGTTAATAAAATGATACCAGGAGCATATCATTCCACAGTCATTTATTTCCCCCAAAGTATTGGTTTAGTAGGGGTGACACTTCTATTGTCCAGTGTGTGTAGGTACTTTCTATGGTTGCACAGGTAAATTCTTACTTTTTTTCTGGTATTACATAAGCGTATAAATTCCTCGGTTAGTGTGCTTGTCTCGAGATGTGATACTTATGAAATGTTATTCCTTACAGATAAATGTTACAATAGGAAACTGTTTTTTACCCCATGCCTTCTTAGTAGTGATGACTAAATTTATAACAGTAAGATATTGCTTGGTTACCATTATATCTGACGCCACTGTTTTCCAAGCTTAAGCCAAATCCTTTGGAATAAAAACTTTGGGATATTCTGTACCTGACGATCTCCATAGAGTTTTAGTTAAAAAATGTGTATCAGTGTCTCTTGTTTGTTTTCTCTAAAAATGCAAGGATTTGACAATCTGAACCACACAAACTTCTAAAAGACCAAAATTAATTGATGCGAACTTGTGGAGACAAATTTATGACCACAGACTTATTGCTCTAGTATATAATTTGGCTTTTAAGGTACATTGAAACGTCATTTCAGGAATTTATAACCCGAGACCAAAATTGCTAGCATAAACTTTGTCTTTCAAAGTACCATCATTTCAGGAATTTATGACTGGAGGCTGAAATCGCTAGTACATACTCTCTCTTTCAAGGTACAATTCTTATCATTTCCGGAAGGCATTTGTGGTCCAAACTTGCCTCACGGGTAAACCCACACGGCTGGATTTTACTTTGTCCAGAAGCCCAGATAGTTGGGCGATCAACCCAATAGATAACAGAATAAATGTTACAGGAAAGAGCAGGTGCTTTGCCTGCCGGTCGGAAACACGTGGATTTCTTTTCCCTCGACATAGAGGGAGCAGAGCTGGAGGTTCTCCAAGCTTTCCCGTGGGATAAAATAACGGTCGATATGTGGATAGTCGAAGTTCATAAGCTTACAAAGAACTACAGTCAGGCTTTAAAAGATATTAGAGGGTTATTTCAGCGAACCGGAATCTATGTGTGCAACCACAAGGACAAGATTTACTGTTTGTGCGACAGGACGCACTCCTCTAAACATTAGAAGTATTTTTCTACATAACCATCTCCGCTATGGAGGATATGTTTTTACCATTATAAGTGTCTTAGACCCCATTTCCAGAGATTAGATCGATCTACTTTAGATCGACCTAACTCCCTGGGGGTTCACGCTAAATAACTGCCAGCCGAGCGGACACGAAAGTTAATTACCCCCTCACAGCTTGTAGTAGGCGGGACGGACATTTAAGCCGGATTATCTGACAGTAATCTAGTGAGACTCCCCGCGGGGATAGATCGATCTAAAATCTATGGGAATAGAGCCTTAGATAACAGCCTAACTCGAAATCTGTCTTGGCGGAGGTATACGAGGTATATGCGGAATGATTGCTGAATGACTGGCCAGTTGTCGGCAAGTAAAGTATTATTATTTTTTTAATCTCAAACAGGGCCGTACTACGGGACGCAGAGAGGACGCCGTCCAGTGTAAAGGGGGCTTTATTGATAATTGAGCTGTTATGGCGGAGGTATACGCTCTGTTATTGATAATTGAGCTGTCTTGACGGAGGTCTATGCTCTATTGCTATTAATTGCCTTCTCTTTCTTTCTTTCTTATTTTTATTTTTTATAACCATGCACAAAGAGGGGTTCAGTACGTGAATAGAAACACAAAAATTGCATTTTTACTCGAAAAGTGTTTTTCACTCACTAATATTAAGATGAGAATTTTGTATACATTTAAGAGAAACCCGAAAAAATGCCATTTCCCCAAATGTAGGCCAGTATACCTTATCGAACCCCCTAGATGCATTTTTGACTCAAAATCTTTTGCTTTGCATTGGTGATTAACATTACTGATTATTTCTATCCCCTGTGATGAGGACTGTT